CGCTCTTCCTCTTTGTTCAGCACATTCAGTAAAAGCGGCTCCAAACACAACTTTGGCCTTTCGTGTTTCTGCCATGTGTTATTTATCACTCATACTGCATTTCAGAGGAAGATACCAGAACTGCCATCCAAAAATCAAGCTGCAGTCTCCCAGGTATATCACAGCTGCTGACTACCTGATCTTTCATGATTACAAAATCTAAAGATGTATCCCAATACCTTTTGCTTTATGAAATTTTTTGCACACGGGATCTGTAGCTTTGAGGTAGCTGTCAACAGAGACTCTCCCCCTTGCCTCCTTATTCGTCATTTATACCTGATCTCAGTGCAGGGGTTGGGTTTATCCTGTGGTACCCCCTTCTCATGATTCAGTAACCTTCATTCCAGCAAACCCCTGGAAATTCGCAGTAGCACTACATGCATATCAGCTCTGCTCTGTTCTAGCAAGACCATTGGGGCAGGGAGGGAAGAACAGAAGTACTGCCCACCTCCAGCTCTGGCATGAGCCCACTGCTGGGAAAAGAAGGTATAGAGACAGCGCTGTCACTCCTCAGCCCTGCTAGAAGAACAGCATATGGCAGAGAAAAACGAGGCTAGACTTAACAGCCCAGTAATACTGGTGCATAATAATTTGGGGGCTGTTGCTAACTGGTGCATATATTTTGCACACCTGGGATATGCCATGAAGCTGGCATTTCCCCCAGCATTACTCCCCATTCACTGTTCCAAAACCTCTGCAGATATACTGCCTTTCCTCAGGTTGTAAAGAGAGGAAAAACATCACAACAAATGAGTTGTTATTCTGGTTTGTCTTTCACATTAGTGCTTTTGCAGTCACTTCGGCAGCTCTGCTGTTTAAACCAACTCCTGCTTCTAAAGCAGGTTATAAACAGGCATATCACTCTATCACTGAAAATGCATTCTAGTCAATGTGGCCATTTCCCACTCTCTGTGTACCGAAGTCCAGCCTGCCTAATTATTGGTGTGAGCAAGTTTCAGCTGCAGTCAGCGCTGTTTGGGTGCTGTTGTTGTGGAAGCGTGCTAATATCTATAGGCTCATGTGTTATCAGCAGAATGGCTCTCTCATGTCCAGAAACTGTATTATAGTGATGACAGACATAGCAAAAACTGAGCACTAAATTTCATTTCTGATTGCAATATCTTCTCTCTGACCTGACAGTTCAAGAAGTCATCACTGGACTACTAGAGTGAGCAAACTCAATATGAGAACCACTGAAGAGAAATCTCCAGGATGTCTTTTCACACAGCCACTTTCTCTGACTATAGCTTCTCTTGAGCAGAATGAGCTAGTGAATCACTCACTGGTCTGTCTTGGGTTAGCTCACATCTATTTAAACCAGCGTGAAGCTCTGCACCTTTGATATGAGTTAATTAAGCTCACATGGCTTTCCTCAGCCTGGCTTCTGCAGCTTCGGAAGCAAAGGGAGCCAAATTAGGCCCATCTGTCTAAATGGAAGGAAGTCCTCTCCCACCGTAAGGCATGCTTCATTACCCAGCACAGGAGCTGCCTTCCAAGAGCGCTGGGAAAGGGGGTTTCACTGCTGCCAACAGCTACCCAGAATACCTGGTATGCCAAGCGTGGGGGTTTTCACAAGAACCACGATTCTGTGCCATCAGCTTCTTTGCACAAAGGCCTCAAGGATCTGTCTACAAAGGGATTTCCTGCAATAACCTTTTGTTTAACACTTGGAACTTCTTGGCAGCAACAGATCTGCAAAATACATTTGATTTTTTTTTTTAATTTAAAAATAAAGAAGGAACTAGCAAACTTCAGTGGAGCAGAGGAGATGACTCTCTCTGCCTTGATCCTGCAGCCGTTCATTGTGTAACTGAAGTTCATAGTCTGTACAAGCTCTGGAAGCCTCTCAGTTGCTAAATTGGAATCCCAAGAAGAAAGAAAGTAGCCTTAAGTAATCCACGTCAGGTACAGCTGCTAGAGAAAGGGCACAAGCCACTCCCTGCTGCTAGTCAGTGCTAGGATCTGGGGAAGCAAAGGTGGAAGACACAATTACACAATTTCAGCTCCTGAATTTGTCTTAAAGGATTTGATCTTGTAGAGGAACTGCAGAACTGTGATCAGACCCCATGCTGGCTCTGCTACAGCGGTGTGCCTCAGTAGAGGTATTAAACATACTTTGATTATGAGTTTCTGTATGTTATACAAAAGTTACCACCATGGAAAAACCATAAATGACAAAAAAATAATTTCCTTCAGTAACCTGTTTTCCGTGGGACAAGACTTGAAGGAAATATCCACAAGTCTGCATGTAAAAACATACAATACTGTTGGGAAACACAAACTTAACACTGAAGACTTAACAAAGCAGATGTAAAAGCTTTTTTCTCTGTCACAGATGAGCTTTATGAATGTTTACAATGAAAAAAGCACAGCAATCAGTAATACATCTATAGGTACCCTAAGTAGTGACAAACATTTACTAATGTTACAAGACAGTAAGGAATTTGTCCAACGAGGCCTCCTAAAAGGTTCCTCCTTAAACCTAACAAAAATGACGTATGGAGATGACCTGCATATAGATTAGTTTGGGCTAAAGTGGGACTCCCCAGGGAGTCTATGCAACTGAATGGGTGAAAAACTGGCTAGCTGGGCTTTAAGAGTAGTGTTTAACGTGCCATACTTGGAGGCCTGCTACAAGGACAGTAGTGCAGGGGCCTGTCCTGTTAGAGGAGCAAACAGAGGGCACCCTGTCAAGGTAATGGGTGATGCCCACCTCGGGCTGCAGTCCGTATGCTTGACGGCAGGACTGCCTTTCAGACTAGCCTGGCAGGAACCTCATGAAATTCAACTTGGACAAATGCAAGGCCCTGCTCCTGAGGAGGAGCGAGCCCATACACTGACAAAGGCTGGCTCCTGCCTGGCTGGGCCAGCCTACTCTGCACAAAAGGCCTGGGGGACAGCAGGCTTAGCGTGAGCCAGTAGCACTCCCAGGCAGGAATGACAGCCAGCAGCATCCCACACTGTGTCAACAGCAGCATAGCCAGGAGATCAAGGGAAGTGCTTCTTCCCCTTTCCCTGGCACCTGGTCAGGCCATGCTTAGACACCACCTCTGGCTCTGTAGTCCTATGTGCTAAGCAGGCATCAATAAACTTGAGTAAGTCTGGGACAGGGCCACGAAAGTGCTCAGGGACTTGAGCCCTTGCCCTGCAAGAAGAGCTGGGAGATTCAGCTTGGAGACAAGACAGTTTTGAGGAGACCTACTGGCAGCCTGATGGTACCTATGGGGAGGTTATCAAAAAGATGGAGCCTTGTTCTTCACAGTAGTGCATGGCATAAGAATGAGAGAGAACAGGTATAAATTGCCACAGGGGATATCTCAGAGTATCAGGAAACAAGAAAAGTTCACTATGAAGACAGTGAAGCAGTACAACAGGTTGCTCTAAGAGGCTGCAAAGTCTCCAACCTTGGAGGCCTTCAAACCCAATCAGATAAAGCCCTGAGCAACCTGGTTTGAATTTAGTGTTGACAATTATTTGAGCTGAAGGTTGGATTAGAGACCTCCTGAGATTCCTTCCAGCTTGAAGGACTCAGTGACTCAATGTCCCCTGCTACAGGTTCTGTAACGTGTAATAATGGAAAAGGGTTCAAAAAATGATTGACAATTACTTACACTTGGGGGCCTGAAACCAATATTTGCACCTTGGAGTTCTGAGAAGCAGTACTTCAACAGTTTGTACAGTGCAACTAAAAAGCAGCATGCAGTTTCATTGTGCTCACCCTAGGAGTATCTTGGAGCAAGGAAATGATGCTTTCATCAGACACAATCTTGCCTCTAAGAGTTGAGGCTTGCAAGCAAATGTGTGCAAGCAAAAAGTACTCTAATTAAAGAAGAACTAAGAAATGCAGACTCCAGGGCTTAATGAATCATAACAAATACCAAGAAAAAACTAATCCTGCTTATTTCCAAGTGTTTAATTGAGTCGGCTGAAATGTTCGTGTGCGTGAGCACAGTCACATATAGTTATTTCCCTAGGTAGAACTCTTCAAGCTGAAATAGTGATTCTTCATCTGGGGCATGAATGCCAATTATTTGTTAATAAAGTCATAACTTCTCTACATACTGTATCAAGGTCTTGGGAAACCCTCCGTTTGCGCAGCTCTTCCATCCTCTCACACACATCCGTGAAGCAGGTGTTATAGTAGTCTGCATACTGCTGTGCCAGGTCATCAATATTTCCCAGTGACCCATCCTACGGTGGAGGCAAAGAAAAAGACATTAGTCAATTTTAAAATTCTAATTTAAAGGTAACACCACAACTCTGAGCGAGACCCGCTCCGTGCAGCATGTCCAGCACACACTTAATCCTTAGCCCCGACCACGCAAGAACAGTTGGGAACTACAGTACCACAGCAGTAGCTCTCTAGAAACAGGTGGGTCCTTGCTAATTCCTACACAGAGAGAGGGAGAGAAGGCAGGGACAGCAACGCACGGCAGAGGAACAATATATCCCCAGGCACTATCTGCCTCAATTCCCTCCCACCCACATATATTCATAGTCCACCTGGTTCTCCCAAGCAGCTGCCCACTCATCCAATAACCAGTCATTACACAGGTTGCGCTGACCTTATTTACTTGGGAGCAGGCCTGCTTTCTGTGACAATGACTAACAGCAATTTAAAACATTAAACTTCTTGCTTATAAGCACAATCAGCCAGACTGCAAACAATTCCAGCCAGACGACTTTAACAGGTGAGTTTATGCCACCCACAAAAACACTCTGCCAGCTGGTCTTTTAAGATATACTGGAGACAGAAACATGGTTTGATCAGCCCCAAATGTCTGGTAGGCAGGATTGCCACCCTGTTAATATAATGGCTATAGCCAGGAATCCAACTGTAATCATCTGTAAATTAGAGTCAGAATTCATACTTTTTAAGTGATGGATAAATAAGGGGGAAGGAAGCAAACCAAACCAAAAAACAGGCTGGATTTTAAGTGGCATGAGAAATTCTTCCAGACTTCAGATATGTATACCATGCAGGGCTAGGTGTGGGGGTGGGCAGGATGAATTAACTCTTTTTTGGGGGTACAATATGCACACATTTAAAATAGGTCCAAAAGATGGGATAGAGTAATTTTGTTTCGCTACTTGTCTAATTTATGAAACAGTGTATATGTTATTGTACACATTCTTTAAAAGGCAACAATCTACACTTTGTGCATATTCTGAGAGAAGAACAAAAATACGCTGCAGAGTGTTAGTCCATTGTTGCTGTTAAGAAAAAAACTAAGCAACTGAGATATCATTTAAAAAAATTATCCTAACATATATACAGATAAGTTGCAATGCAGAGTTATAGCATATGAGCTAGTAGGAAAAATTTTAATTAGAAACCACACCTTACTGAAGCTGCTGCCATTTGGAAATAAGTATGTGGTCCTGCTCTCAGCGTTCTTGACTTTGCTAAAGAGGCAGATCTGTTTTAATGAAGTATCACCTCCAGAGAATTGGAAAAACCATTGCAGTTTAAATCAAAGTGAAAGCCTGTTAAACTTCAGACTCCAAGAAACACAGTCTCTACTTTAAAAAAGTGCAAATCCGTATGCACAACAGGTACCTCAAATTCCCCAGGAAATTTTGCAGAGCTTGTGTCCCCAAAATTCACAACTGCTTGCAGTTTCTTAAAGCTACTGTGTATAGTACAGGTGGAAAGCAACTTGCATGTCACTTGGAGCAGCAGAAGCAAAATAACTACACGAAACATGTATCTACGCACACACCCTCCTCTGCACATACTATGTACTTTTTACTGTACTTCCTCTCTCTCAACCTGCCAAAGATCTCAAATGGGAGATGTTTCAAACGTAAAGGATCGGGTTCCTTAGTGCAAATACACTTCTGGGAACTTCAGACTTTCCAGAGTTGTTCAAGACAACTTGCCACACCACTAAGCAAGTGTGTAGTTTACAAGGACAAAACGATGGCATCTTTGAGAGCATGACGGTGCTACCCTGCCTTTCTACTGGACCACCAGCACTACCCGCTCAGCAGACAGCAAGCATACATCTTCTTCCAGCCACTTCCTCACCATCCATCACTTCCCAATAAGCTGGGGAAGAAACTTTCACTCTCCACCTGTGCCACAAGCTCCACACATCTGCCTGCGCAAACGGACACTTCACCAGTGGCTGAGGGTGTGCTTGTTGATCCCATGCGTGCAATGAGCTGCTTACACAAGGTTTGCACACTCGGTAGGGATGACTGGTGCTGCAGTGTTGGGGAGGAAAAATGAACACCAAATCAAAGAAGCAACCCCAGAACTTCATCTTCACGTCTTGCTGTCGTAGGCAATAAGAAAACCTGTATGACTTCCAAAGAGACAATGTGACACATGAATCCCAGCTACTCCATCGTAAAAAACATCTCTCTCCAAGCATTACCAAAAATTCCCACTTTGGACTACCTTCCCCAGAGAGAGTCTTGTTTATTCCTTGATAAGCTTTGCCAGTTAAGAGTGCAGGAGCTGGAAAGAGTAACGATAGAAGGGCAAGATGGGAAGCCATCGTTTTATTAAAACAACATGAAATCTGCCTATTTACTTTATCAGCCCATCTCTGCTCAGTTCTAGAAACTGTTACATTTCATGTAGTAAACCTGATCGGAATTAGGTATAGCTTATGAAGGTAAAGTCATGACTCTGAAACTGAGTGATATACTCCAAATTCAAACATATCACGGGAACTTCAGCTTAGCTGAGCGCCCGGCAGAGCCAAGGTGAGGATCGCAGCACGCTCCAGCACTCCTCCGTGCACCTTCCTCCCCACACCCATGCTCCTCGGGCCCACGGTCACAGGCTGTTGGCGGGACAGCGGTGGTGCTGCACAACAGATCCAACCAAGCTGAACAAGGGCTCATTTTTCATTTACATTGGTGTGCAGTTCACTGTGCTTTTTTTAAAGGTGGTCTCTACAAGGCCGAAGGCTTGTGACTGTCCCTGGAACAAAATTAGCTCGATTGCAGCACCCCAATTAAAGCCCGCAGAACGTGGGTGGCCTCACCGCCAGTGAGCACGTGGCTGCAAAGAAAGGCCTATTCACAAGCGACCCGGTCCGCCAGTGCCGCAATGTCCAGAGAAGTTGAGCTGCAGGCATCGGCCCGACTGACTGACAGAAAGGACTGTTGTCAGTGCTCGGAACTCAAAAAAAAGGGGCTGTGCTCCAAATACAGCTCATGCCAACTCTCCAGGGAAGACCGGTCCTGTGTGAAAGCGAGCTTAACATCCAAAAAAAGATGAAGGAACAGCAATACCCCAAGGTCTTAGAGATGGGAATTGGTAACTGAAACACATACTCATTGCAACCCTGCTTTTGGTGGGTTACCAGACTGAGGACAGCTAGCTTTACAAGTTAAAGTGGCAAGCAACCTCCTGACTAGAGGTGGACAGCTTTGGGGTTTCAAGTCTCAAGCTCCGAAAAATGAGAACAAAAATACAAACATTTGCATTTACATCTCGGCTTGCCAGGAAGTTGTAGTGGAAGATGATGATTGAATCATTTGTCTCTGTGGCAAAGAGCTTCTTTTATGAGTTTATGCGTGCGGGTATCCAGAAAGCATTGCTTTTGTCAAAAAAGAAACACAGATACACAAATCAATGCAAGCCAAAGACAGCAAGTATTTCATACCCATGTTGTATACAAGGAAATAATGTCATAACTTAACAAAGGATCGTATAAGTGATTTGTGTTACCTCAAATGTTATCCCTACATATTGTTATCTCCATCATCCTCCTTTATACTTCAAACACTATTAAAACTATGGCAAAACTGAAAAAAAAAAAAATAGAGAGAGAAGATGCTTCATTTTTTCTACTGCACTGATAATGGCCAAGAGGACTTCCTTTAGATATCATCAAACTGCAAGTACAACTAATCAGAAGATTAATTTTTAACTATGGTATTTTGTCTGTCTATTCATTGAATTGACCCCCCAACTTCTCCAAACAGTTCTAAACTGCCTCACACAAAATCACCACCAGTGTGCTTCGTATTTCTGTTTTAATGTTGAGTATTTTTTAAATGTTTATATGCAAAACTGTAGCTCCAGCTTGAGAAGTCATTCATTCCCTTATAAAGCAGAAAGATTCAAAGGAATTGTCCAAAATGTTTAAAAAAATCCCTAGCATTATTAAAAAATAGAACAATAAAAGCATAAGTAATAATATTTTAAAAATATTTCACTGATGTATAAGGAATAAAAGCCAATGATAATTTTCAGAAGTTCCTTTTACTTTTTTGCTTTCATATGCAAGCCAAAACCTAAAGGATTTTTAAGATGCTAGAAATAAAAGTCTAAACCCATCAGTTTGTTCATTCCTCTTCTTCCTTATTAATTGCCCTACATTGTGGGCTTGATTCCAATATAATACAACAGGGTCTAAACAAATGTGGACTGCCATTTTAGTTTCACAGGTAGGAAAAAGCATACAACTATTTGATACCAAAAATAGTAAGACAATGAAATTTATAATAAGCCTTCAGTTGTGTGCCCTTATGTCCCATTTTGATGTAGACAGGGCCTGTATTTGAAACGGCCTATGTGAGTAATGAAAAAAGACACAGCTTTCAAATTTAATCTTACTGATGTATCTGTAATTCAGGAGCCACTGATGTGCTCTTAACTGCTTTATGTCAGTAATATTTTTAAACCCAAGACCTCATAATAAACTCTTTCTTGTTTTGTTACAGATTTAACAGTTAAGCAAAACCCTACCGTGAAGACTACTTTGCGCCAGTTGGGTTTATTGCCATACAAACTGCAATGTTCCAGCTATATAATCCCACAGATCTCTGGTGGAAAAAATTCATCAGCAAGACTAATATTGAGCAGAAATACCATTCCTGGAATGCTTTAATTTATTCGTAAAAAGTTACAACAAGTTTCTCCTAAGACTTCACTACTGCCTGAGACCTTCCCATAAAATAGTCTGATAGCTAGGGAAGTAAACAACACACTAGTTTTAAAGGGTTAAACCTAAAATGAAGATTTAATACAATATTCTAATGAAAACAGAAGTTATCTCAGATTTCTATTTTTGGTTGTCAAGTACGTTCCTAAATTTCCATCTTATAATGTATGCATGCAACATTTTTTGGCATCATAAAACACAGAGAAAATGATGAATTGCCCTGGAATTCCCAGAGAATTAGTTCTGA